ACGATTGATTGGTCTATTGTAATTAGATTTTCAACAAAGAAGCGGTCGTCGATCAAGGAGGAAAAGGCGGAATGAGCCATTCCAAACATTTTTGACCATTTTGTAATGGTATGGAATGGCCCATTCCAACCCATTCTATACCATTCCAAAACACTTTTTCCCCGTTGTCGTCGGTGCTGTTGGGATCGAAGGCACAGAAGGCGCTGAAGCTGAGGGAGTTGCATCTTCATCGGCAGAATCTTCCAGAGATGCATTCGGTCGGTCAATTCGAATCTGTTGAACCATTTTTTACAAAATAGCCGGCAAATTAATTTAAATTGATAAATTAATTCAAATCAATTGAATTTTAACCAGTTCGAATTAGTTTATCAAGTTAAATTAATGTGAATTGATTTTTAATCACAACCATTAGAAACTGTAAGCATTGCTTTTGTATCATCAGTATGCTATTAACACAAATCAAAGCTTTGAACAAATGACGACATGTGCTAAACTACTTAACAATTGTTGCATCTACTTGTTTTGGTTCTGACTATGCTTTTTGAATAATAAAAAATAGTGTAAACGAACGATCACAACGAATTTATTAAAAAGTCCGGCTGATTTCCTCAACTCTTCACTTCTTGAAAACTTCTCAGAATAATTCTCGACTGTGTAAATATGGCGCGATAAAGAAACCGACATACTCTTATATGACCAGTTTTGGAAAGAACATCGTACAAGTTGTCAGTATTAATTGTACCAGATAAACCTTTGATAATAATCATATTTTTACAGAATAGTGCATCACTTAATACAAAAAGAACGAACGAAGTATTTAAAGTATAATTAGCTACAATAAATGATATTTTTATTTTATTTTATTGAAAAAGTGACATTTTTTTGTTACTTTCTACTAAAGTAATAATTGATGTTGTTTGCCGCTGTACAGATTCTTTTGTTGTCGATGGATGTGAACTTATTTTACTGTTTACATTACTTCTCATCGTTATTGCTGGTCGTAAACATAATAATGATGATGATTGTTATTCTTGTTCTTCATGATATGATGTATCACGTGTTTTTTCATGTACTCTTGTTTGTCCCATTAAGGAAACAACAACATCTTGTGCATTTGATACAGAACCACTTGTTATTGCTTCATCATTTAAAGCTAAAACAATAAAAGTATCAGAATTAAACATTTTCTCTCAAAGAATGATTTAAGAATGAATTCTACTGTCAATACTTGATAATTGAGGAGAAGACGATGTTTGTGGTCAAACAATATTTGGTATATTTTTGATCATGTTATCACATTCATTTTGTGTTCCTAGATGAAAGAAAAAATAAAATCATCCATGAACAGGGAACAACAGTAGAGTGCATAGATCCAGCCACCTGCTCAAATTTCTGCTAAATCATAAAGACTTTTCAACAGGTGGCAAACAAAGTAACGGTTTATTTTACATGCCATGTAACATAATTTTTCCTTGTTTACATTTATGACCAAAACTAAATGTATATGTTTCATATTGTTTCATTTTGCCAGCAGAGCTTTAATGATACAGTTTCCAGTTCATTAGTGTCTACCCATGTCACTCAACATGATCTTTGATTGATACAACTAAAACAAAAATAACGCAAATATAGAGAGGCTGATTCAGAAATTTCCGAAGGTGATACAAACAAAAACCGTCACAAATTTGTACATTACTTTCTCTCGTTGTTTTACTACTTTTATAACGACCACTAATCGTACTTATAGCACGAGTTATAAGTACGATTAGTGGTCGTTAGTACTACTTCTACTGGAAAGTGAATGTAAATAGAAAAAAATATGCAAATACATTGAATCATTTTTTTCAAGTAATTATGCAACATTTATTTTACAATACCCAAACTATTCCTTGTCTTCCTTCTCTCGTTTTTGTCATTACTAGAAAAAGTGAATGTAATAAATCTAAAATAATATTTAATAATTGATATAAACCTACCATTCTGCTATGCGCAACAACAGAAGAAGTTTCCTTACCAACAACAAGAACGTTTACAAAAATTTAAACATATGCTGTGCTTCTTAGATATTCGAATTCGCAAGTGATAAAAATATACTGCACACATCGAGTAGTAAAATGTAGAAGAGATTATTAAACATCAGATTAGACCACAGCAGATTTTAAGGTGAGAGTGACTCTAGCTTGAAGAAATTTGGGATCCGAGTTTTATGGAAGAAAACTAGAAATGTTTGTATTTTATAAAATAAGTGAAAAAGCATTTTTTTCCTACTTTTATAATAAATCGGTAAGTGAAATCTCTTCTGAGCGAAAAAAATAAGTTTATGTCTGAATTTGTTTTAGCACAAAAAATGTTTACAACACGCAAAAACAAAAGTCAAATCTGTCTTTTTAATTTATAGTGTACAAATATTACAAAAAATACGCATATTTTTAGTGAAATATGTGTAAAATAATAAAATTCAAAAAACCCAAAACATAGTAAGACAAAAAACTAATTCTCTTCAATAATTATTAGTAGCAAGCAAGTATAGTTTGTTTAAATGAAGACATAAAACAAGACTTCAACAATCTTAATATGCACAACTATCTAAATAAATATTTCATCAAATATGGACTTCTTCAATCCATTGTTTCTTTGCTAGTGTGTGGTCTGACCAAAACGTTGGTATTGAGAACTGCCAGTCATTTACATATACACTAACAGCGGCGACATTTCCGAAAGTGCGTCGCCGGTAGATAAAACTAGCCAGATAAAATAGAAAAGTAAATGTTCTGTCCGGGAGTGTAAATTTATCCGCTTAAAATGAGTTTCACGAGCCCAAAAACACGTGAGTAAAGGTACACCATGGAAAGAAGTGATGATAATGACGAATTTTTAAAGAATATGCTCTATTTTGAAAAGCTTTTTTTGAATGTAACTGAGTTTCTTTTCAGCGAAAGAGCACCGTTATATCCAGCAGCGGAAAAAATAAACAAGCAATTATCGTTTCAAGAGTAACCTAACTTAACACTGGCCCAGTTCCTTCTCAATCTGTGGGGAGATCAATCAAAACTGTGCATAAATGATGTTAATACCTCGAATGAAATTGAGGAACATTTGGATAATAAACGTTTTGCCGCTGTTATTTTGTGTGTTTTCGCAAATGAGAAGCATCGTGCAGGACCAGTCCTTTTATGTTCCAAAAATTTCTCTGCTGCATCATAATAATTATTTTTGAAGGGAGAGAAAACATGAACATCCAATAGCTGGATGTACTGCGTTGTTCTTTTTGGCACAATGGCTAAAGAAACACCGTCAGTACGTAATTTCTTTTTTAAATCTTCATTCAAGTGGCTGTTGCAACTGTCTATCATAAATAGCTTACGATTACCATCTTTTACTTTGTTTAGCCACCAACACATATATTTTTTCATCGTAAGCATATTTATAACGGATTATGGCTTATAAAACTTTTATTCGGGAAGCATACTTTTTTCTTCTGATGAAGCTGCGGTCGCTTTACCCCGACACAAAACAGTCCTCATGCTAAACTCAAACCTTGTGCATAAAAAAAAAGCTTTTTATGCACGAGACTGACCGCTGCAGTCTGGGTTCGCACATTAAAATCCGTGAATTATTTTGAAGCTTTTCGTACCCTAGGTTATACCTAGACCGACGATTCTCCTGTTCAGCCGCGCCATATACCATGATATAAATATGATCGGAGTGATAACATATCAGATATACCGGAGGTACATGACGATAACGATGATTCGACCCCACCTGAACATTTAAAACCTGTTGTAACAAAAAAAGAAAAAAAGAAACAACCGTCTTTAAAAGATATGTTGGGAAAAAAATAAATGTAATTTTTGTGTTTTCTACGTTTTTATCCTTTTTTCTTATTATATAATAGAAAAATAAAACAAAAATTTTATATGTACCTTGTGCCATATAGAGAAAAAGCCTGGGTTTTTTAACTGTATTTCAGTTTTTGTAAAAAATAGATGTGTTTTGTTTGCGGATTTGTAAGCAAGTGGACTGAAGGAAAAAAATGGAATAAACACAATAACTAACAAACTACTAACAAAATGTTGAAGAAAATGGCCTCGCTTCAAAGAAATAGCGAAAACCGGGAAACTTTAGAGGAACATAATACAAGACCCTCCTAGAAACTTCGAACGATCGGACAGAATAGAAGACCCCGGGTCGTCTAATGCGTCCATCCATTTATATGAATACCCGCATTTTTAAAGATCAGTAGTCTTAGTATTTTGAACACCACGTTGAAAATTCTGATCCTGTTCATTAGTTTCTATTCAATAAATATCTTTCTCTCTCAACTGTAATAATAATTATATGAATGTTGAATGAACAATCTCCGTTAGTCATCTAAATTTTTTTCTTTTTGAAAAGGTCATGTTTATTGATGAATCTTACATATAGCATAATCGTTTAGAGTGCTTCGTGATTGAGATCGCTGCTTATTAATTAGATTTAAAAAATCTCCCCTTTCTTATAGAAATCAAATGTGGTCTCAATTTAGAATGCACATAATCTCCCGTTTCTTATAGGAATAAAATATAATCGCAATTCGGAATAGCGAGTTTGTTCTTTTCACATATTTTGTACACTGTTTATAATCTGTCAATATATATTGGATGGTCTGATCCATTCTTGTTTCATCGACAGTAATTAAATTATTCTTGTTTCGTCGACACTTTTTTTATCTTGGTTCGTCGACAAAATGTTTCTAATCAATTAAACTTGATTCTTGTTTCGTCGACATTTTTTTCTGTCCGTTGTAAAACATGGAATTATAGTTGCAATTATTAAAATGTATACTACAATTTTAAATTTGAAAACAGTTGATAAAATTCAATAGAAAAGATCAACTGAGCAACGGATTTCTTTATCAAAACTAATAGTGTACAGAAAACAGTTGTAGTTGATAATAAGATATGTATAAATATACTTGTACAGCAAACCTGAGGACTCACCAAATCATCAACTTATCAAGAATGCTACCTATTACTTACATTTTACTGTATTATACGTTTTCCATCGTCGACAGCAAACGTAAAAAAGCAGTTTTAATTTTAAATGATTATCGTTATACACAAGATCGGATAAGAAATAATAACACATATTGGAAATGTGAAGATCGTTCATGTACTGGTCGTGCATCACAAAAATGTCCGGATGATCCAAAAAAAACACAACAACATAGTCACAGTCCTAACCAAGATCAATGCAACGTTGAAGAATTTACAACAAATGTAAAGAAACGCATTAGAGAAGAATCAGAACCAGTAAGAAAAATATTTAGACAAGAATTAGTTAAACTTCGAACAAAAAATCCTGATCAAGTTCAGTCAGTACCTATGTTTGAACAAATTAAAACGTCGTTATATTCAGCACGAAATGAAAGTTTCCCTCCACCACCTGAAACTTTGGCTGACGTGAAAGTAGATGGTAAGTGGAGTCAAACATTAAATAATGAACCGTTTTTGTTACCAGATACTCAAAATTTAATATTTGGAACAATAGAATCTCTAGATGAATTAAGTAAAAGTGAGCATATGTTAATGGATGGAACACTTCAGTCATGTCCTGCTCCATATTATCAAGTTTATACAATACATAGTGTGAATGATGGTCTATCGTGACCAAAATTATACTGATTACTTCCTCGTAAAGAGAAAAACACTTACATTTCTTTACTTCAAGATATCCAAAATGTATGCTATCGAAATAGTATTACTTTAAATCCAAAATTTGCCACATTAGATTTTGAACAAGGTGCTATATCTGCATGTGCATGTGAATTATTATTTCCAGATGTCAAGATCAAAGGTTGTAATTTCCATTTTAATAAATGTTTGTACATAAAATTACAAAATTTAGGTTTTCAGTCTGCATTTATTAATTCTGGTGGCAATCCAAATGAAATTAATGTTAGAAATCTTAACAAAAAAACTTCCGCATTAGCATTTATGCCACTAACTACTGTGAAGGATTTATGGAGTCAAACAATGGATGAGTATGATACTATTAATGGAATCACGCCTTTTTTTGATTATGTCACTGAAAGTTGATTGAAGATAGCTTATTTGATATTTCTTTATGGAATTATTATGATTTTCCCAGTTGTCGAACCAATAACAATGTTGAAGGTTGGTATTATCGACTTAACTCATCACTTAATAATGCTGCTCATCCCGGTTTTTATAC